GGCGGGGGGGGGCTGGGGGGGCTCCCCCTGCACGGGGGGGGCGGCGGGCGCGGGCGGCTGCCCCGGCACCGGCCCCGGCGGCTGCTGGTAGTAGTGCGAGTAGTAGGCGGCCCAGGCGGCGTTGGGGTCGGCCGCCGCCGCCGCCTTACCTGCGGGCACCGCCACGGCGGGGGATTAGCGGGGGCAAAGAACGAGCGGAGTGCTCGACGACGGAATTAAAGAATTCGGGAGCTGGGGAGGGGGCGTCCAAGGTGAAAAACCAAGAGTGAAATAAAGCGGGGGGAACGGAGAGGGGGTCTGTAAATTAAAGGGGTGTTGGAATAAATAAGGAGAAATAATTAAGGAGGTGATAGTTGGGGGGGAAGTTAAAGGAGAGGTGCGGAAATTAAAGGGGGGTCAAAATAAATAAAGAAGGAAAAGAATGAAATTAAAATAGAATGAAATAAAATAAAAATGAAATAAAATAAAAATGAAATAAAATAAAATGAAATAAAATAAAATAAAATAAAATAAAATAAAATAAAATAAAATAAAATAAAATAAAATAAAATAAAAACAAAGTAAAAATAAATAATAAAAAGTAAAATAAAGTAAAAATAAAATAATAAAAAATAAAATAAAATAAAATAAAATAAAATAAAATAAAATAAAATAAAATAAAATAAAATAAAATAAAATAAAATAAAATAAAAATAGGAGTAAAAGGCTTGAAGGATCAGCAATTAAAAGGGGATCCAAATAAATGAGGGATAAAATAAACGGGAGTGTCGAAATATTAAAAGGGAAGTTAAAATGAAGAAGTAAAATTCAAAGGACAGCTCGGAACACTCAAGGGGAATCAAAAATTAAAGTGAGGGGTCAAAATAAATACAGGAGCTCAATAATTAAAAGCTGGGTTCAGGAAATTAAAAGGAGACTGAAAAACCAAAAGACGAGGCCCAAATAAAGCACAACTACGATAATTAAAGGGGGGGCGAGGCAGTCCAAGGTGGGGGTCAAGACAAATAAAGGGGCAACACAATCGGGGGGTCACGGGCCCGGGGGGGGCCGCGGCACTCACTGGGGTCGTGGGGGGCCGGCGGCTGCCACTGCGGGTAGGTGTTGCCCCAGCCCTGGGGGGGGTACTGGTGCGGGGGGGGGCCCCCGGGGCTGCGGGAGAAGGGAGGGGGGGCACTGAGGAGCGCGGGGGCACCCCCTAAGCGCCCCCCCTTGCTCGCCCCCCCCGCGGCCCAGGTGAGCCCCGGTACTCACTGCGGGGGGGCGCCCGGCGGGCCCTGGTTGAAGGGCCCCGGGTTGAAGGGGCCCATGGGGCCGGCGGGACCCGGCGGCCCCCCCGGGCCCGGCCCCGGCCCCACGGGGCACAGGGGACCCTGCGGAGGGGACAGAGACGCGGCTGAGGCCCAGGGCGGCGCCGGGGGCCGGGCGGGGGGCAGGGGGCCCCCCCGGCGCCCCCACCTCGATCTTCTCCTCGATGAGCTGCTTGGCGTGGTCGATCTGCTGCGGGGAGCCGCGGATGATGAAGAGCTTGAAGTTGGGGTCGCCGTTGGGGGGCAGCTGCCGCGAGATCTCCACGAAGGCGCCCGTCTGCTGGTTGATGGCCTTCACGTTCTCGCCCCCTGCGGCGGCGGCGGCGGGGGACACGGCGCGTGACACGGGGCCGAGGACGCCCGCCGGGATGGGGGGGGCGCGGGGGGGCCGCGCTCACCTCTGCCGATGACCAGGCCGCACTTGTGCGTGGGGATGGAGAAGGTCATCTCGCCGCCGGGGGGGCCCCAGCTGCCCTGGCCCCGGCCGCGGCCGCGGCCCCCGGGGGGCATCCCGGGTCCCGGCGGGCCGGGGGGGCCGCTCTGCGGGGCAGAACACAGCGGGGGGGGGTGAGCGGCGGGGGGGCGGCGCGCGGGGCCCCCCCGTAGCCGCGGGGCCCCCCGTACCCGCAGGCTCTGCAGCAGGTCGTTGATGATGCGCGCCGCGTGCTCGCAGCGCTCGGGGGGGCCCATGATGTGCGCGATCTTCTCGGGGCCCGTCCCGTCGTCTGCAGGACACCGGGGGGGCAGAGGGGGGGTCAGCCGGGCCGGGGGGGCAGCAAGGCCCCCTCCTGGCCCCCCCCCGTGCCGGATTTGCCGACCTTGTTTGAACTGTATCCGCACGCCGGCGTCGTTCTGGATCTTCTTGATCATCTCGCCGCTGCGGCCGATGACGACGCCGACCGAGTGCCGGGGCACGGGCACCTGGGGGGCACACGGGGGTCGGCGGGAGCTGCCCCCCGCCCCGCGCACCCCCCCGCGTGCCCGCCCTGCTCACGTCGATGCCGCCGCCCACGCGGGAGCCGTATTCGTTGCGCTCGCCGAAGCCGCCCTGGTCGCGCTCGCGCAGGATGTCCATGACCATCTCGCACGCTTGCTGCGGGACACGGCACACCGTGACCGCGGGGGCGGGGGGGGGACATGGGGGGCACGGGACCATGGGGAGGGGACATAAGGACCGCAGGGAGGGGACACAGGGACTGCAGGGAAGGGACATGGGGACCGTGGGGGGACACAGGGACCACGGCGGGGGGACACGAGGACCATGACAGAAAAGACAGGGAGGACAGGGAGGGACAAGGGAATTGCGGAGGGGGGAGATGGGGACCACGGGGGGACACGGTGGCCACCGGGGGGGTGACAGGGACTGTGTCGGGGGGCCGCGGCGCAGCTCCTACCTGCACTTTGTAGGGGTCACCGATAATCCGCAGCGGTTTGTCCACGTTGGTGTTTTGGGAACCGTCTTGGATGAGGATCATCTTGACGCCGGCGCGCTCCTGCGGCGGGACGGGGCTCAGCGCACGCCGAGCACACGCTAAGAGCACGCTAAGGGCACGCGAAGCACGCGCACCTGGAGCTGCTTGATGGTCTCGCCGCCCTTGCCGATGACGAGGCCGGCCTTGCCGGCCGGGATCATGATCTCCTGCACTGTGCCGTTCTGCCCGTTGGCGTTGTCGTGGAACTGCCCCGGCGGCCCGCCCCGGCCCCGCGACACGATGTCGTCCAGCATCAGCTTGGCCTTCCTGCGGGCGGACACGCGTGTCACACGGCGGGACACACGTGTGTCACATGGCGAGGGGCACACATGCATGTCACGTGGTGATGGGCACACACACGCATGTCACACGGCAAAGGACACACACGCATGTCACATGGCGGGACGCACGCGTGTCACACGGCGGGACTCATGCGTGTCACACGGCATGGGATACACACACRTCACATGGCAAGGGACACATATGTCACACAGCAAGGGACACACGCATATCACACAGCGAGGGACACACACACATGTCACATGGCAAGGGACACACACACGTCACACAGTGAGGGACACACACATGTCACACGGCAAAGGACACACATGCATGTCACACGGCGGGACTCTCACGCGTGTCACACGGCAYGGGATACACACACGTYACAYGGCAAGGGACACACGCATGACACACGGCAAGGGACACAYGCATRTCACACAGTGAGGGACACACACACRTGTCACACGRCATGGGATACACACACGTGTCACATGCCAAGACACACACGCACATCACACGGTAGGGGACGCAGGGACACGTGAATGTCACATGATGAAGGACACACGTGTCACATGGACGGTGACACACGCACGTCACACGGCAGGATACACACGCATGCCCCACAGTGGAAGACACGTATAGACGTGTCACATGGCAGGGGCCACAGTGACACACGTGTGCCACATGGCAGGACACACACACACACACACGTGTCACACGGGGAGATGTGGGGACACACGTGTCACACAGCAGGACACATACACGCATGTCCGACTGTGGGGAACACATGGACACACGTGTCACATGGTGGGAAACAAACACGTGTGTCCCATGGCAGGGACACACACAAACACGCGTGTCCCACGGCGGGGCACACACACACACACGCGTGTCCCACGGCGGGGCACACACACACACGCGTGTCCCACGGCGAGGCACAGACACACACACGCGTGTCCCACGGCGGGGCACAGACACACACGCGTGTCCCACGGCAGGGCACACACACACACACACGTGTCCCACGGCGGGGCACATACACACACACACGCGTGTCCCACGGCGGGGCACACACACACGCGTGTCCCACGCGTGTGCGCCGGGCGATACTCACTGCACGGACTCCGGGGAGCCGGTGAGGGAGACGCTGCGCTCAGGGAGGCCGCCGCTGTCTGGGGGGGGAGCAGCGGGTGTCAGCGCCAGCGGCGGGGGGGACACACGCGTGACACCCCGTGGTGTCCCCACGCCCCCCGGCCCCGCTCCTACCTGGCGAGATCTGCACCTTGCAGCCCGAATCCTGCTGGATTTTGTTGATCTGCTCCCCGCCCCGGCCGATGACTGGGGAAATGGGGGCGAGTGAGGGGGGGCGCAGTGTGTCCCCCCTCCCCGGGGTGTCCCCAGTGTCCCCCCGGTGACGGTACTCACTGAGTCCCACCATGCCGTCGGGCACGCGGTACTCCTCGGTCACCGTCGACCTGCTGCAAACGGGACACGTTGTCAGGCCCCGGGGGGACAAGGGGGGACATCCTGGGGGTAAAGGGGGCAGGACGGCAGGGGGGCAACGAGGGGGGGACGTGGGGACAAAGGTGGCAGAACGGTGTCACCGCAGCAAGGACGGGGCTGCGGTGGCGGGGACAGAAAGGATGGCACGAGGGTACAGGCGTGAAGGGGACACCATGGGGACAGCGGGGACACCAAGGGSACACAAGGATGGGGGGACACAGAAAACAATGCGGGTGGGTAGARCAGGCGCCACCGCACCCGGGGTGTGACAATGCCATGGAAAGAACACGGGAGGGACACGGCGATGTTAATGTCACCACTGGGGGTGGCACGGGGACTGAAGACGACGCTGGCACGCCCAGGACGGGGACAGAAAGGACTGAGGTGACACCAGGCAGACAAACATGACGTGAGCCCAGTGGTGGCACGGATGACACAGGCGTGGGGACACGCTGGGGATGGAGGGGACATCAGTGTGACGGGGACACGASGGGCACGAAGAAGACAGGGACGTGAGAGGGGAGGGAGGTGACAGAGCGGGGCCACCACAGCGCCAATGGGGATGCCACTGGGATCCTGGATGGGGATGGGGACGCCGCGAGGATGACAGGGACACTGCGCTGGCCATGGGGACACAACRGGGATCTTGGGGACACAATAGGGATGCCACAGAAATCTGGGGACACCCTGTGGACACCACAGGGATGCTGGGGACACCAGGGACGCACACCATGGGGGTGCCGGGGACATCATGGGGACACCGGGGGATGTCGTGGGAACGCTGCGAGGATGCTACGTCCCCGTGGGAACGCTGGGGATGCCGTGGGGATGCTGGGGACACCATGGGGACGCCGTGGGGATGCCACAGGAACACCGGGGACGCTGTGGGGACACCATGGGTATGCTGGGGACACCATAGGGATACCGCAGGGATGCTGGGGACACCGCGGGGATGCTGTGGGGATGCTGGGGATGCTGTGGGGACACTGGGGATGCCGTGGGGACGCCGTGGGGAAGCCGCATGGATGCTGAGAACGCCGTGGGGACACCGTGGGGACACTGTGGGGACACGGCAGGGATGCTGGGGACACCG